AGATCTGGCCAGGAGGTGACAGCATCCTCTGCAGAAAAAGACACTACCCCCAACTCTGCTTCTAAAAACATTGTCACCAAATCATCAGTTAACATCACTTAGATGAAAGGATGGAGAAAGCAGCAAGTGAGAGATAGGACTTGACTCCATTACCTTCATTCCCTCACATTCTACTTGGCAACTGGGAATACCTTGATCCTCCTTTTTAAAAAGAAAAAAAAAAAAAAAAAAAGGTTGGGGTTTTTTTTTGGGGGGGTTAGGTTTTTTCTTTGAGTATTTCCTTGGCTTGCAGTTTTGAGTTAACTACTTCTTTTGCCTTCCACGTGGCATTTCATCTGTAGCAAAGCTTTCTTATTTTAAAGGGATGTGCCAAGTTTTGGGTTGTTTTTTTACTTTTTTTTATTTAACAGTTACATTAGTGCAGTATTCTAACTTCAATATGTCCCTTCTCCTTTTGTAAATTCTACAAGAATCAATTTGTAGGACTTGTACAGAAGATGGTTTTTTGTTTGGTTGGTTTTTTTCTTCATTGTACTTGCAGTAAGAACATTTTAGGGATGTTTTAGGTTTGAGGGATTAGCTTGGAAGATAAAGGCTGGGTTACACATTTCAGAAGGGTTAAAGGTTGATTAAAAGTTGGAAGAATTTTGAATGTCTCTCAGCAGAAAATTACAGGTGGCAAAACTAATCTGTTCACGTTGCAAAACTAATTTATCATTTCTGCTCTGACACCACAGGACATTTTAGATGAAATGAGGAAGGAGTTAACAAAATTAAAGGAAGAACTCATTGATGGTAGGTATCAATCTGTTTGTTGCTCTTGTTCAGTCTTAGAGTAAATAACTACAGGTGCACAACAATGTAAATGTAACGTGTTTCTGGCCTGTGACTGATAGACTGATAAAAGTAGCTTTGTTGTAGGTCTGGTGGCATACTGCCATTTGTGACAGACCTTTTCTGATTGATGTGCTTGTATGTTTTCTCTTCATCCCCTGTGCTTTTTGTTTTAATAGCACATTGACACTAAGTAGTGTCTTTTAAAAGTGGGTGGAGGGATGCTGTATCTGACTGCATTGCAGTTTTTCTTTTATCATGTGGTGGTAGGTGAGTTATTTTTAAATGATCCAGAGCTGCTGAGGTGCATATTTAAAAATGGATAATATTCAGACTAGGATTGTGCTTCCAGCTTTTGGCCGCCTTCTCTTTGGTCTGTAATGTAAGAGACAAAGAAAAGAATTCTCACAATTTTTATTTTAACAGAAATTCTCCTTAGTAGCCTTCTGTAATTAAGGGAAATTATTGAGAGAATAATTTTAAAGGTCCACCAGTCAAGAAGTAAATAAAACTCTGTGTTTGTTTTACTGCCTTGGTGTGCATTTTTTTTTTTTTTTTTGCTTTATGAAAGTACCAACATAAAGTATGGAGGAGGGGAAAAAAAAAGTGTCATATTAAACTGATATATCACTGCTGGTAAAATAACAGATGTCATCAACTGATGTTGTAGAAAGAGCTGGCTGATTTTGGGCTACAGAAAATGGAGTGCTTTTCCTTATATTTTGATAGTGCTGAGTACTGTAGCCTTTTAGAACAGTACGATGCAAACAAGGAAGGGCCCTGGGGCTGCTTTTAAAACAAACAAAAAAATTTAAAATAAATAAGCCCACATATCCGTTCCTTGATAACCCCAGTAGCAGTGATTGTCATCAGATAAGGTCACAGACTTGCTGGAGAGGCAGAACTGAGAAGTAAGATGTTAACAAAAATGTTACAGCAAGAAACAGGGTACTGCCTGGTTGAGAATGACATTGTCTGAAGCCACATGAAGCTATCTTACGTGCAGGTTATTCGTGTTGTAAGACTGTTGGAGCAGGGTGAGCCTTCTTTAAGGGGTCAGTTGTGTATTCTGGCTTTCTGCCTTGACTTTGACTATTTGATTTATTAACTTTTCTCTCTCTCTTTCTAGCTATCAGGCAGGAGCTCAGCAAGTCGAATACTGCATAGAAAGACTAGTACTAAGATGATGTGACTCTTTAACTTGGTATAAAACTGACTACGTTTTGTGAGCTGTTAGAAGAAAACGGAGACAGACAGACACTTGGAAGGAGGGAGAAACAACCTATTCTGAACAGCTTCAGACGCATCACTCTGGTGATATGCTATTCCCCTCCTAGTTTGCAGCTTTTTTCTGACCTTTACAGCAGGGTGGAAAAGACTCTTAAAGTTACTGTAATGATTATGCAGAAATTCCTACACCTATCAGACAAGATCACAGTGCTTTGAAGTCTACTCATGTCAAGATTAAATTGCACACGTTTCAGAATTTGTTGTTAAGACAATAAACAGGGAAAAGCTTGGGAAGGCTTTTCAGAGAGGTTTTCTTTATTAATGAAGGAGTTAGCAAGTTATACTGTTGTACTTCAAATGTATCTCAGGTTTGTCTTCCTATCATATCTGATATTTCCATGAATAATTTAAAAGATCAGATGTGTAGAAGTTCAGTTCACAGAACATGGAGCAATTAGAAACGCACGCTTTTAAAGGGCAATATTTGTAAGTGAATGACCTAGACAGTGATGACATATCAAGATTTTGGAATTTTATGATAGGAAGCCTCTCTAGTTAGCCTTCATGCAATTTTATAGGAAAATTAAAAAAGCAAATACAGTCCAGAGTTTAAAGATGTAGATGCCTTCCTACATTGTTACAATGCTTTACCAAATCTAAGACTTCTACATAATGCGAATCAGCAGTCAAATGTAAATCATTAGTATGTTGTAGATTTACAGTAGATTTTGGGGCTTTTTTTAGATTTATGCATGTGGACATTTTTGTAATGTAACACAACACAGCCAGCTTTTTAATTAAAAGAAAAATTGCATGTCACAGAGTAGCCTTTTCATTTGTAAGGCTTAATTTATGCCCAGAAAGATGCGGGATGAGGGAGGGGGAAGGTGACACATTTTTATTACTTTCTACACTTTTTCTTCATCTTACATGCATGTGTAATAATGAGGAAAACGTGACTTTTATCAGTAACCATGTTAATGGAACCAGGTACTTAAGCCTTTTGTAACTTTTTTCAGTTTTCTATTTGAAATTCAGTAATACTTCCATAATGGTTCTGGAACTCCCGTGTGAACCTAACTCATTTCTCAGTGAGAGAACAAACTTGTAGGCATCTGAATTACTGAGGATGCACCTGTGTAAGTGTGGTGTCCATTACCTTTTTATCATGACCCTCGACTTCACTCTTTTCTGAGTCTCCTTTTTTGATTGTTTAATGACACAGGACAGCAGTTAGTTACCTTAGAACAACAGAGCATCAGGTCACAGTAAATGTTCCAATCTCCTCCTAGTTTATCTGCCACCCTCCTTCCAAAAAACTCAAAGCCAACAAAAAACCCCACAGGTCCACACAACTCAAACCCTGAAAAACAGCAATGGTATGCCATTGGTTTCAGTCAACAATTTGAGAATAATTTTTAGGGGAGATAATACTTTTCTGTTTCGCAGGGTTTTCAGATTTTATGCTTGGTTGTTTGGATTTTGGTTTTTTGTTTTTTTTAATATGATACAGTTCAGTGGAATAGAAATTCTGTGAGTTGGATCTGTAGTACTTTGGACAGAGAATATGGATCACAATCCTCCCTTTTCCTTTGTGCTGTCAATTTTTCTGAGCCGTAACAGTGCCATGTTTGCTTCGGGATCTGTGGCGATCCAAAAGAAAAGTTTACTTACAACTTTTGGAGACATTAATGTTTCAGCTTAAAAGTATATGCAGCTCCATTGGTAGGACAAATGCTTTCAATAACGTACTGTCTTAAGTGCTGAACACCAAAGCGAAACAGCACTTACAGGTTTGGAAAGGCTTAAAAGGGAAATTTTTCTCTAATTCAAACATTTCCTGTTTCTATAGGTTCAGATTCTAAGAGAAGACTACAGTGGAATTATTGCCTAACTCCATTTACTAATCTTTTTTTTTTTTAAGAAAAAAGAAAAATAAAAACATGTTTCTGCATGCATTTATTGAAGGCTTACAAAAAAATCCATAGTAACCTTGTCAAATACTGTTTTTCTCAAAACAAGAGGAGGCATTTTCATCTTTGTTGTTGTAACTTTTTGTTTTACACGGACTTTTTGAGCATTAAGGAAATTTACCCTTGTCAGAAGTCATGTTTGATTTGTTTCTAGGAGAGTTCAGGAGTAGCATAGTGGAATAGCTTGAATGGGTATAAGTGGTCCAAAAGTAAAAGGATGAACTACTAGATTGTGCAAGGAACTGGCTTATGCACTAAACGTTTTGTGCCTTGGTCTACAATTAACATGATTTCTGTTTAAAAGAAAAAGGAACAGATGTTGTCTTTTGTGCTGCTTCTACATACATACTTTTTGTAATCCCAAACTGCCGAATTGGTTCTTTCCAGAAAATTGGATTGAATTAAAGATTACTGTAGACATTTCCTGTCCTACTGACAGTTGCACCATTTCCAGAGATTTCAGTATTGAAAATGAACTGCAGAAGCTAAGATTATTTTGCTTACTGGTAACTTAAGTTCTTTAAAAACCATATTGTGGTGGTTCTGTGCTTTTGTACAACGGATGTCTTAAGCTGAGGGCAGTTTAAGGGATCCTTTCTAATGCCAGGAAGGCGTTGCTTTCCTCAACACTGTGATCTGACCTGTGATAAACCTGTACTATAGATAAGTGGCTACCAAGTCAACTGCAAACCAACTGAATGTAAAAATCTTAGTGCTGGTGCTGAAATCTCTTCAGATAGTCGTAATGATTTCCAGTTCATTGTTTTAAAAAGTTTTCAAGCATCAATTGTCAATCAAAGACTGAAGATGATCACTAATGAATGTTGACTTTTCATGCATTTAGGTTTACCTTCTTTTTAGTTTCTCAGTTCATTCTCTGCTATTTTTATCATATTGTGTCATTTTAAATTTCTTACATGCTAACGTTTTGTTTGAGCGAATGAAATAAAATTGCAATATATATACATTGCCAGCATTTATTTCTGGAACTTTGTAGAGGACTCTCTGAGGATTACTACTCAAATTCTCAAAATTTTTAATGACTTGTGATCATATCTTACTCCTTGATTCCACACCTCCTTTCTGTTTCTCCATCAGAAGATTCAGTAGAGAAAAGTGAAGATTTAACTTACAAAGAATGTAATTGCAGGGACTGTGTAACATTCATGAACGGCAACTGCTGTACATAAATTAAAATCCATTTTAAATGTGTGATTTGATTTACATTCTCACATGGCATACACTTTGGTCTCTGTATCCACAGAGAACTTGGGAGGGAGGGAGAGGGAAAGACCAGGGGAAAAATAATTACAGTTGGTCTGATTTGTTTTTTTCTCTTGCTGCTTTTATGTTCATGACTTATTTTCAATACTGGTAATAAAGAAAACCTACCATGAAAGAGTAACACATCTTTCTGTATGCTAAGGACAATTTTGCTCAGTTTGTCCTACAGCCAAATATTGAGTGTAGCTGTTTAAATGTCCTTGACTTAGCATCCTGAAAGCTGTACTTCACAGCTGTTGCCTTTTTGTTCAGAGAGATAATGCGATAATCCTGCTTTGGCAAACCGTTGGTACCAGTGCCAAGTTTGGCACCAGCCTTAATGAGTTATAAAGGGTTTTTTTAAAAATAAAATTATCACTAGATTCTGAAATGGTCTGCTATTATTGGAGTAGTGTTTAGGCAACAAGTATAAAAACTTCTGATTTAAATTTCTGAACAGTGTTACAGAATCTGCCTGTCGGTGTCAAGAGACATATGGTATCTTTTTTTTTTTTTTTAAAGTTGTATATTACAAAAGTGGGAAGGTGGTCTGCGGTTCCTCAAGCCAGTGATTATCAGCACTTTACATAGGCTCTTCTGAAAATGTTTGAAGTAGGCTCAGTTCCAGAGCTAAATATTACTTGCCAGTGTGTCTTTTATGAGTAATTGTACAAAGCTTGCAAAATCAAGAGAAGATTCCTTCTGTTTTCTGTAGGTGAACAAGACTGGGCTGATGTGGAGTAAGGAAAAAGTTTCCAAAATTGGCTTTGTACCCAAGACTAAAAATTCTTTGGGGGACTGCAAATTTTCCTGACTCTGTAGGCTGTCACTGGGGATTTTTTGATAGAAAGCAGGTGAAAAGGGAAGGAGTTGGTGATTTCAGTGGATCTGGGGCCAGTGCAAAGTACTTGAAGAACAGACTAAAGTCCACTTAAATAATTTGTCTTAAGGGATGATTTTTGTGTATGGAAATGCTGAGGATTATTTAATACTCATTTGCATCCACCTAGGAGTGTCTTAAGAGAGAGAAGTAAGTTTGTTAAATCAGCTGTCACGATATATATTTTTTTTCATATTCAAAAGACTATTTCTTTAAGTTAGCCCATATGAATGCCTGAAAGGAGCTAAGTATTTAATTCCTTGGAGATGGCCACCAAAGAATTGAAATTGATATGTCAGGAAATCTATTCAAGTTGATTTGGGTTTGTAATCTGAAATAAAAAAAATGTGTTAATAGAATTTGGTGTAATTGTCCAAGATATGGAAAAGGAGGTTTAGCTCTGGATGTTGGGAAAGCTCAGCAAACCCTTAAAGTCACAGCAGTAGTGTCTACATGTTACATGGTGATTGGCACCTTCATTCATTGCACAGGTAGTTCTTCAGGTAGTTGGTCATCACAGCGATGCTGAAAGTCAAGGAGCTTTTAAAAATTAACTCCATTTTATAAATGGATCCCAGTTGAACTCTCAGTAAATAAATGCATTTTCTAATGTTTCTTTTATGGAACTTAGTGTCCTGAATTTCACTGAGTGACTATTCTGTATCCTACCTTGATAAGCTGCTAAATGGCAAAGACGTGGAGCAGCTCCTCCAGATGAACTGTATTGCTGCTCTGGCTGTTGCAGCTCTCAGCTGCAGGCTGACACTTTTCTCGGTTGAGTTGCTTAATTTTGCCATTGTTGTTGTTCAGTTACATTGATCTCCTCCTCCCTTCCCAGCCTATTTTAAGAGCTGTTCCTGGTATGACATTTTCACTTCTCTTTGTGACTGCAGGTCTCTTCTGCAACTGCTCAAGCACAGTAGAGCTGGAAGTGGAGTCCCACCCTCATCTGATGTTTACCATCTTAAGTGTAATTTTATCACCAGCCAGCTGGAGTCACTTAAGTCCCTACCTACTCTCTGAACAACTTTCCACCTAGCAATAAAGCTGTCTGTGCTAACTACGCTGTGAGTGTGCTGAACTATAGTCTGGTTTTCCTTGCAGAGCCTCTAGGAGTTGGTCCACAAGCTGCTGACACGGGGAGAGAAAAACCTGAAGAATAGCAGGGAAGTGAGTGTGAGAAGAGAAAGTCCAAGGGAGTTTGGAAAGTGTTCAGTGTAGGCTGATACCTAGAAATGAGTGGGGCTGCAAGAGGCCTGAAAACTCGCAAACAGGTTTCAAACCCAGTCTGGATGCTGCTGGAATCCGAAACGTTGAGATAGTTGAGGTGGCTTTTGGGGTAATCTTAAGGCTGCTTGCCCATCAATGTAGGCCTAGTATATTAAAAAAACAAACAAAAAAACAAAAACACCCCCCCGCCCCCCCAGTGTACCTAACTCTGAAGGTACATTGTCTGCTGCTTGACTTTTTTTTTT